TTTGGACCTATGATGCTTAAATTCTTCTTTCTGAAAAAACACGGGTTTACTTGAGCAAAAATCAAGATGCAAAACTAATTGTCTTTATTACTAGAATCCAAGGATCACTTCTGCAAAGTAAAACTTTGTTAGGAATCTGTTCTGTACACTCAGAATTACTAGCCTGTTGAAATGACCAACAAAGCTTCACCTCAGGTAACCTTCAGAGAACTGTTGCTTAAAGCCTCTCATAAGTCGAAGTATCTCATTTATTATTTTAAAACTGTATGCTGTCAACGTATTTGTGATACTTGATCCCTTTTCTCTGAAAGAATAATAGTAGACTGTAATAGTAATAGTAGTAACTGTAACTAGATATTTACTAAATCTAAATGTTTAGTTTCAGAAATAATGGTGTGCTTCAGAAATGTCCTATCAAAATCTCATCATCATGCAGACCTCCAGACGCCGCATTCTAAGAAGCTAGAATATCCCAAGACTTCACTCCTTGTTGCTTGGCCTCTAAATGAACAGTTACAGTGGCCAAGAGGCACGATACGGTCAGCTCTCTTCAGGGCACCCAAGTCACAAGCTGAACTACGGCTCTTCATAGAATGGAGGGTAACCCGTAGCCGTGCTGAAGAGGGAAATTTTGGCCGCAGCGTTGGACTAAAACTCTGATCTTTCCGTAACAGTACAATGGGTTTTCTACCGACAGTTCACAGCAGGCCAGGCCTTTTTTAAGAACTGTTCAGAAATAGCACAGCAAATGGAATGGTATATGTCTGCCTCAAAAGGGAGAAGAGAAATCGGCCTTGTCAGGACTTGAACTTGTGGTTTCGAGGCATTCCCCAGCTGGTAATTGGACTGCTGACAGCTGAGTGTCCTGGTGAGCACTTGGCAGGGTCTTGGCAGTGAAAGCTTAGCAGAGAGCTGTTTGTCATTTCAGGCCATCGGGACACTTCTCATCGGTGGCAAAATCTGTTTCGGGTTCCTGCAGCACATCCTTGCCTGGTGCCTTGTTAACTGAACAACTTCTTCGATTCAGTCCTTCACTGGTAGCCCCCTTTTTATAACCTCTTCCGCAATATAACATTGCAGTTGCAACTCCAGTAAAGATGAAAAGAATGCTTTCATTTGGACATCTTTCCTTTTCTCTTTTAACCCTGACCTTCTGAAAAGCACTCCCTTCTGCAGAGATTCTTTACGCTTAGAATTAAGCCATTAGCTGTTCTTATTTTTAGAAGCATAGCAACAAAAATATGTGTTTCAAAGAACTGCAAAAATAGTCATAGTTAACTATGAATAGCACTGATAGTGTTCAGGGACCATGAAGAAGGTAGTGCTTGGGAACTGAGGGTAAATCACGCCTGACCAACATGGTTGCCTGGATTTGTGATCAAGGGGAGTGCAGTCGATGTCCTTTACCTCTGTTTTAGGAGGGCTTTCAACACTGACTCCCACAATGTTCTTGGATACAAGTTAGAGTGTTATGGTGTGGGTGGATGGACAGCCATGGGTGGGCCTTTAAGACTGGTTGGATGCTGCAGCTTAGAGGATCGTAGTTAATGGGTCTTCAGGAGCTGATCCTGGGACTCGTCCTGTTTCACGTCTTTATGAATGACCCAGAGGAAGTAACAGTGCTTGCTCATTAAGTTTGCAGATGATACCAAACTGGGGGGCTGGACAGTGTTCTCAAGGGCAGGGGTACTGTCCAGAGGGCCCTCAGAAGGCTGAAGGTATAGGCCAACAGCAACCTCATGAAATTCAGTAAGGACAAATACATTGTCCTGCACCTGGGAGGGAGAAGCCCCAGCCACAGAATGGGCTGGGGATGGACTGGCCAGGGAGCAGCTCTGCCAAAAAGGGGCTAGGGTTCCCAGCAGACAGCCAGCTGTGTGCCCTGGCAGCGAGGAAGACCAAAAGCATCCTCGGATGTGTCAACAGTTGCTCAGCTGGCACACTGGGGGGAGTGGTTATCCCCCTCTAGTCTGTGCTTGTTAGACTGCATCTGGAGTACCGTGTCCAGTCTTGCCCCCACCCCACACTGCCGTGCAGGAGAGACATGGATAACCTGAAGCAAGCTCAGCAGAAACCACCAAAGTGGTTGGGGGCTGAAGCGCTTGCCCTGTGAGAAAAGGCTGAGGGAGCTGGGCTGGTTCAGCCTGGAGAAGAAACAACATTGAGGGAACCTCGTAGCAGGCAGTACCTCGAAGTATCCAGAGGTGCCTGGCAGGAGAACCAGAGAGAGCAGATGTAAAGTGAAGGAGGAGAGGTTTTGGGGCTGGTTTTAGGGAAAAGCTTTTTCCACAGAAGGACAGCCGAGCAAATGAGTGTGTTGCCCAGAGAGGTGGTCTGGTCACCATCCTGGTTTTCAAGACCTGGCTGGACAAGGCCCTGAGTAACCTG